GGGTAGTCCTTGGAGAGAGGTCTAAAGGTTGGGAGTTTCCATAGATGGAGGCTTCACTATTGGAAGACCCAGTATAGCCTTGCATGATTTGGCAAGGCTGGGGAGCAGTTCTTTGACTTGGTTTTTATTGGAAAAAGCCATAATAACTTTTTATTAAAAAAATAAACTCAAAAAGAGGAGTGTATTTTTTTGTCAATTTTATTGTCAAGCATGCTAAGTTGGTGAATAGTAGGATCTAAATTTTAGCTGTCCTAAAATGGAATAGGGCAATTTTTGAGAATGCCTATGATTCCTAAAAGAATTAGCACAAATCCACTCTAGATCCTATGACATCTTTTTTGAGATGCCCATAAATTATATTTATTTCAAATTCATCTCTTTTTTGATTTGAAATTCGGTTCTTGGATTTGACAATCCCACAAATTCAGATTTATTAAGTTTTACATGATGTCTATGATTTGTTTGAAATACCGGAAATCTCAAATTGTACATTAGAATCCTGCATTTCTGATTCATATATCCTGCATTTGTTTGCTGAGTTTTGTCTTTTATTAGTTGAGTTATCTGCTCAAGAGATTTGAAATTTGCCAATTTAAATAAATCAAAAAATGTTGAATTGAATGGTTGATCTTATTGAATATTTTGGTTTTCTCTTTTGAGTTGCCCGCAAATTTGATTCAAAATTTGGACCTAGGATTTGACAATCCCACATTCCTACCATTAGGTTCTGAATTAACAGTACAATGGGTTTTGGTGAAGACCATCTGCATTCTGAGCTTCTTTCTTCATTCTTTGCATTTTTGTGAAGGACCTCACTCAGGAATTAGTCAAGTGTGCATCACTCAACAGGATGTTTCCCAAGACTTGCACCTTGACACTTGATCTCTGTGTGAGGTGGCTGCCCACCCACGTTTTAAGCTCTTACTAGCTGGGAAATTTGGCATCTGAACGGATATTTGCCTATGTATTTTCCTGGGTTGGATAAAAATAGAACAAAACACTTAAATATATAGGCAACTTTAAGGTAAGTATAGTTAAATTTGACCAACCCACTTTTTGTACAAAACATTCCAAAGTTTTTTAATATATTAATCAATCCAATCAAACCACAACTTGGGGTTTGCTTTCTTCGTGGTGCTATAGAGTAGTTATGGATAAAGATCGCAGGTTAAGCCAAAATACTCATATCAGCTTTCAAGATACATATGTATTAAACATTGTACTTGATACTTGAAAACTGAGTTTATCAGGTTTCTTGTTTGGTAATCTGCTTATGGAAGAGATTGATATGGTGTTCAAGCGTGGAACTAGCGGTACCGATGTGAAATGAAATGCTTATCCGACTCCAAGCTTGTGTAGCGCAATTGGCTAGCGCGTAAATCTGTTAATCTTGAGGTTGCTGGGCCGATTCCAGCCATGAGCGGGCTTTCGTGGTGTAGTTGGTTATCACATCTGCCTTACAAGCAGAAGGTCTTCGGTTCGATCCCGAACGAAAGCATCTTTTTTGTTAGTAAAAGTGTCTTTTTTTGGTGGATTAGAATAGTTTTATAGTTTCTGATATCCCATTGTGTTTGGTTTAAACTAACTTCGGAGATGTCATGGTGTTCAGAGGATTGGTTCACGATTAGTAGCTGCGTTGTATTCAATATCAGAGCATTCCGATTTGTATGTAACTATTGTGCAACTTTCAGTTGCTGCAAAAGGTTTTCCTAACTCCATGTGTATATATCATCTCAAACACCAGGAAATAAATTTCAAGTAAGCATATGGAAATCAAAGAGGCCAAGGATTTAAACCTTTCTATGAACAAGAGGTGGGGTTTAGGTAGACCCACCAACAAGATAGAAATACCAAATTTTCACTCTAAATGTTTAAGTGCCTACTCATATCATCTAGGACTTTTTTTAAAAAAGTAAAAAATAATTCATGAACCCAGGAAATTTGATCATATAATTGTCATAGTATATTCAATTGATCCTTCTTGGGAATTCATTCCCTCGAGAAATGTCCCAATTGTTGAGAAAAGGTGGCCCTAACACGAAATCCAGATATTAAACTAGAATCAACCATTTGGGACCCAAGGGAATCAGGATCTTTCACAGCCCTATCACTGACATGATCTACGTGGACATTATGTGGCTTATCACTTCACTATATAGCATTATTCTTCTATATTAGATAAAGATATCATTCTCCTCTTAAATCTTCCCTTTTTGTATTACATACTTCCCAGAAGTTAATGCGCAACAGTTTGACCTTGTGTTTCGCCTACTGCTGAAAATTAGACATCCAAAAGCCCAGAGACCATATGTTTGATGTATGAGACTCTTGAAGCAGAGGCCTTATAGAATAAAATTGGTACATGCTTATTAATTTTGTTTTTCTTTTGAATCACTCTATATAAAAAAGCAGGCTTGATTGAGGGTAACAGACTCAACCCGGGCCTCTCCATTCAATCAAAAGCCACAAATTTACAGAAAATCCAAGCTTAGGGTACTCTTCAAGTGCCAAGCACCTTTTTTAATGCATTGATCTATACCTAGAGTAACTTTACATCCAGTCAAGTAAAATAATTCATCCTAGAATTCAAACAAAAAATTAAAACCTTGGCTGAAAAAAACGCACGGACACCAAATTTTCCAGGCCAGCACTTCAGTGGTGGTCGGGCCAGAGTGCACAGGAAAATAGTAACGTTTACCTGCGAACTTAGATCACCCCTGCGTATCTGGGTTGATTAGGCTGGATACTTTTAATTGCTTGTGGACGATGGTCTGTTGATAAACTATCAGAAGAAATCCCATAAGCCACAACCTCGGGGGGAGATCTTGAGGTCGGCAACGTACTCGTGCTGAGTCAGAATAGATAGATACTTGCTCTTCTTGTGGGAACAAGCAGGGTCTTCTAGGTATTTGGTGCTACACAGAAAGAATACATTGCCTTCCCCAATGTAGAGCTCTTGATTCACGTGAGCCCAGCCATCGTCGTAAGAGGGGTGGTTCGCAGCAGGGTCAGCCTTGTTGATAACGCGAGTGAAGTTAAACCCAAGCTTGTTGTAGTGCTTGGCAAATGCATGGTTCCCTACCCGCAACTGGCCATAAGTAATCACTCTGATCTTTTTGGGATCCATGTGAAGATCTTTAGCCAGCATTGGAGCCATGAGAGTTGCAATGTTTCCACCGAGGGAATGGCCCACTAGGACAATGCGGAAATTGGGGTGCTTGTTGATGAGATATGCCACTATTGAAAATACTTGATAGCGTATTGATTCTGCAAATTCTAAGGAGCTTTGGTGAACTTTGGCATTTGGGATGCCACTGTAGTTTGCAGTTGTTGTGACGTAAGAGGAAAAGAACTTTGAGATGGTGTCGGATCCTCGGAAGGTAGCAATTATTTCTCTCTGCTCCTTATTCAAGTACACCTGGGCATGAGTATCGGTTTCTTTGACATCAATGTCGCGATAGATTACAGCGTGCTTGCTGAGCATGCCAGTGTTTCTGTTGACTTTGCTGCGTTCAATCTCGTTGCAGTAGGCAATGGCAGCATATGGCACGTGGTCTTTGATCTCCTGGATGAGTGAAATGGGTGCATGGAAAAGAGCTGGGATGAGACGGGGTTTGCGATCTAATAAAGGGGACAGTGGAAGGTGGGAAAGCCGTTTGGAATGGGCAGTGATTTTGAGAAGCTGTAAAAGTACAAGTAATATGTAAGTATTGTTCATTGTATAGTTGCAGTAACACGAGATTTTGAACTTTGAATTTGAAGCTAGCCGTAAACCCTGTGAAATAAGTGCGTGCGTTTTGTAGAGCAGATGCAAGAATATCTTGATTTTTAATAATATGTATATTAAATAACATATAAAATAATGCATTTTATTTTCTCATAAGAAATACGTGACGTTCTAAAAAGGTCAGAAGAAATAAAGCTTGTAAGAAATAATGACTGTTTTCTTGAAACTTTTAAACATGTGGGAATAAAGTTGAGGCTGTTCTGAGAGCTTAGGGTGATATTTCCTCATTGGCTTTCTTTTAGGGCTTCTGGCCAGACAGGGCAGGCTTGTGGCTCCAGCCCACTCGTGTTAAAGAATTATTTAATAAATTCAATATGAAACTCCGATTTGCCTGTAGCGGCCCAAAGCTGGAAGCTAGGTGTGTCTGGTTGTATCGGATTTGCTTATATTTGGCTTCATTGGGCAAGAGAGTTCGGGTAATTAGTATCCTTTAGGATTGAGAAGAGCAAAGCCCCACTTTATCTTTTAACATAATCAGCATACCCCGCTTTTTTGAAAGGACGGAGAGATTTCTAAGGCCTGACAAAGACACCACAGCATATTATATGCTCTCCACCTATTACATCATGCGACTAGTTAAGGGCCAGCATAGAATAGTCATCTTCTTGAAGTCAATATTATTTGCTTGATTTATGTGACTTGAGGCATAGGTTATAATTTGTGACCTCCCTGAATGTATAGATCAACGCCTATTTTAATACGTGGCGATTATAAATCCATGATTTGATATTAAGGGGTTGGGCTACCACCGAAATCCAGCCCAAAAAATCTGATGACGAAAAAGCACAGTTTCACTGAAGCCAAGTATTATATTTTCTTAAAAAGCCTATTTTAAACTTATCTTACTTTTGCATATTACGATGTGAAATTACTCCGTACATCCACCCATGAAATAAAATTGAGATCGACTATTAGAAAGGGTCTTAGAGTGTACTTTATTTATAAAAGCGAGAAACTCAGGTTAAATCAGTTGCCATAATTAAACCACTATTTTTACATAAAACAACTGAGAATACCTAAACTACAAAGAAAATCATCAATTTCCTTATCTTTTACCAAGTCAACTTTATAAGTGGAAGCTTTCCAGCCCCAGCATTTTCTTCGTTAGATTTCTGGGGCCGGATTTTCAGCAATAGCCAGGATTTTGAACAAAAACTCCTTATCAAACCATTTGCAAGTTTTTGATTGGTTAGAGATCCATTTACATGATCATCACATATTAATTGTCTATTTTGATCCAATCAATTTGGAGCTGGTAAGAATAGAATCAAACGCTTGATTGAATAAACCTAGCAGTGAACCATATTGAAAAGGTTGATAAATAGTGATATGTGTTGCAGCTATTAAATTTAAAGTTGCCAAATCGGTTATGGTAAGACGACCCTAAGCCCGTAACTCTATTAAGAATAAGCTAAACGAATAAAGATATGTAGTTACATAGAATGAACTGTTTTGGGCTTATGGTTGAAAACGAATACCTGGATGCAGCAATAATTTACCCAACATTAATTAGTTTAAATGAACCTAAGTTTAACATCGATTTTAAAGAGATCTGGTAGCACCAAATCCAATCAGGATTGATCATGTGTCACAGCTCTGATTGGTCTAAACCAGCCTGAACTGTTAGATTGACATTAGCTCTACATCAAGCTCCAATGAGTTGTGCTGATGGTAGAACCTCTGGTTGGATGGATTGTTGTTCCTTGATTAAGCTTCTGTGGTTTGGCACTGATAGTAGATTCTGCTTGATCCAAGAGCCCCACTATTATAGTGATCCTGGTGTTAAAGTGCAATTTGATGGGGCCTCTGATTAAGCCTTAGTGGGTTCTAAGAGGAATCTGGGCTTAGCATAAGTTACCCTTCTCCTATATAACTGTTTTCCTTTATCAACAATAAAGATATCAAATTATTATTATACAGTTTATTGTTATTGTCAATTATATACATCTAGGAAGTATATAAAATGAGATTAAGGGGAAAATTAAGAAGAAAACAATACTTTATTTGATATGAAGATAGGGTATTATATAGTATCACAGGAAACCACATGCTATCTATGTGTGTCATGGTAGTCATGGAGCTTTTCCAAGTAATTTTCCAATTAGGATTCAAAAATGTTTAATCTCTGTACAGCATGAGCTTCTGATAAGAATGCTACCAATTATCAATCAAGATGTTTCTCAGGGAATTTTTTCTAAGGGGGGGGTAATTGTAGATGTTTCAACATCTCCCATGGGGTGCTGAAAAGAGAAGCTTTTAGGACTTCCTTGAGATTATCTGGGATCCGTTCTTGGTATTGATACAGTTTGTTATTGGGGACAGGTAGCCAGGAATTGAGTCAGAAATTTCTTGCCTTACAGAGGCAGAGTTGCTATGGCACATAGGTTCCAATCCTGTACAGGCACCAATGCATTTGATGGGGTAGGTGTTATTTGGCTTGACTTCTATGACAACACCAGGTCCCCCCAGTCCTGGTTTCAACTTGTGTAGATTGTGAATTATTACCCAGATTTACACCCACTTAGAATCTTTCTTCATGGAGTGACATTGAATCTATTTCTGCTCATTTATTCTCTTTGTCTTCTTGGTCTTTCCTAGATTATTGTACTGAAGAATTATTGTTGCCAGGTACCCTT